GGTATTACACTATTTCCAATACATAGCGGCTTACATAAATAAATGGACAGCCACTGAGTAATACAAACAAACAAACAATGTATTTTACACGCGTTGTATATCGACGCTATGAGTCCCATATCGAACAGGACGCGGCGCGACGACCGCTGCCCTTTAAAACTGCACAGTTGCATCACTGGGAACAAATGAATCTAATTTTTTTAATGTGCGTGCAACTGAAAAGCTTGGCCAATCAAATCTGTCAGGAGCAGTTTGATTTCAAATCGCCCATAACATTAACGTTGAACGTGTGGTATATTCTAAGGTCAAAATGTTACTTATATATTACTGGTTTTGAATATGAAAAACAATACCAGACTGTTAGAGGATTGTACATGCAAATATTCTAACACCTTCTCTCTGTCAACTTGAACGCGTCTGACGCATTTGTGCTGAACATATGATTGTTTGATTTTCTTCAGGAAAGATAATTAAGGCGTCCACCCCCAGAATTACTAATACTTATCATGATTGCTGGAAACGTCTAGCTATTTTTAATAGTTACTTAGGACTACGATTACCGAACATTATTTATTATATACCCCAAATTGATAGCTCAAAATAGCTCATTATGTTGTGAAATATCTATTACCTGATGATGCCTGATACACAAGACGTTTAATAGTATGATTACAATGCAAAAACAGAAAAACTTAGTATCTTCCAGCTTATATGTTTTATAACAAGAAAGAAAAAAACATATGCAAATGAAAGATGCGCCTTTCATACTGTTGTTGTGCACTTTAATACCGCAAGTTTTGAAGAAACTTGTTTACAGATAAGTGATAGAGTCAAAACAAAGGGAAACATTGCATGAATACGTAACAACTCAATTGCTTTCTTGCTAGTGTCATTGATTGGCCTCAGTCTCATCTTAAGAACTTCCGAGGCCATAGCCGAAGAAAAAAAAAGAGGAATGTCATTTCCAAAGTTGTTTCAGGGACGATGTTGAAGAACTTCCGAGGCCATAGCCGAGGAAAAAAAGGGGGAATGTCATTTCCAAAGTGGTTTCGGGAACGATGTTGAAGAACGTCCGAGGCCATAGCCGAGGGAAAAAGGGGGAAGGTTATTCCCAAAGTTATTTCAGGGACGGTGTTGAATCGCAGGACTATTTATGTATTACGTGCATATTTACGTCATCATCGAGATCTAAACTCTGATATTGCCCCATTCATTGGACTGAGGTACTTAGACAACAAATACAAACAAGGACAATTTCGAAAAAAGTATTTCTTTTATTAATTACAGGACGTTTTTCCTAAGCATGCACTTACAGTTGTGCCAGACATCACAACAGTTTTCCGGAGACATGGGAAAATGGGAAAACCAAATAACGCGCGTGGCGTTAAGGAGTACATGACATTAATTGTGCGTTTATACTGTGACAAAAAAAAAACTGAGCCCTAGCCAATGTGCACCAAACTTTAGTTTTACTCGCTACTATATCGACTTGAATCTCTGAAACATTTCGTAGTACTAAATAATTAAGAATTTCCCAACACACATTTTAATATACCAAGTATTTAATCTAACAGCCACAGCCACAACAGAATTAATGTTCATGTACGGTTTGACGATAACACGCCGGCATATCTTAGATAAAAAAAAACCGAATCGTGTAAACAAATTTTACAGCAAATTCACGATCATGAAAAAAATAGAACATGTGAAGAGACACACAAATATTTGGCACAGTTTCTCTGCTATCGTCATTTTAAGAGTTTCTAAATGAACCACTTCTAATTCACTATATAAAACCCACTTGAATAAATAAACAAACAAAAATCTATACACTATACGGGGACTGGCGGAAACAATGATCATAACTCAAATGTGTGAACGTTATCGAATCTGCTTCCATTTGTGGGTAAATCCGGAAGACATGTTTTTTAAAAGTGGGAATGAGTTTGATGTATATGTGGTCAGTCAGTGGTTCACCGTGATTGTAAACTTGAAGCATCGTTGCACGTAATGTGTTCAATGCGCGGCAGGGGTTCAATGAGTGTCGTGCGTATACATAAGGGACTTTACCCGATGCTCCGCGGATTTTGTAAATCATTTACGCGTTTTATAATAATTTTGACACGTAATAAAATTGTCTGTTGAAAGACGACGTGTGAAATTAGAATACGATTAAAAATCACAGCGAAACATTGATATGATGCTACATATTTCTTTATATTGTAATTTGCGTATTTTGGGATGTTTTTTTTAAGTATATCCTCTTTGACTGAAGCCGTGGACGTTGACAATAATTCGACTCATTACAAGTATATTAGTAGTCGAGTTGTTGCCAATCTTTCTTCTATGGTTTGAATATTAAAATTTAGTACATATTCACTCCAACTTTATTCAGTAGATTTTAATCCCGTTGCACATGTAATTTTATAACTGTGTCGCCAACGTGACTTTCGATTTGAGGATTAGGCAAAATTCCTGCCGCCGACTGTCATTGGTATCGGTAAAATATTAGAACGTGCAACCACACTGTATCCAAGACGCATCGAAAATCATACAATGCGATCGACAGACCACTCATTCCACCAATGAGCAGGTGCAGTCAACGGGGCTGTTCGTGAAAAAATGTGTTCGCAGGGGATTTTTAGCGGGCAGGCAAAATAAAACATCTTCAGTGGGGGGGAATTAAAAATAGGGTTTCTCAGAGGGGAATTCCAGTAGGAGAAGATTTTTATTCAGAGGGCAGGCAAGTTTCATTTTTAGATTGAACGGGTAAGGGCAAAATCACTGATTATACATTGTATTTTTCAGAAGTGCAAAATTTGAACTTGGGTACAACTCTCTTAATAAAGAGTGTTGTCGGTGAAATGGGTTACGGGGAACAAAAACTGAGTGGGAAAAGGGCAGTGGGAGAAAAACCGATTGGAGAGAAGGCAGCGGGGAACAAAAACTGAGTGGGGAGAGGGCAGTGGGAGCAAAACCGAGTGGGGAGAGGGCAGTGGGAGCAAAAAAACAGTGGGAGGGCAATTTAATTTGGTTGAGAGGGAGGGGAGTTGCGAACAGCTTGACCTCTCCCCTCCAAATTAATTAAGCCTTAATAATGTTCATAAATTAAGTTACTGTTGATCAAACATAAAAACCAAACATTTTTGAAAATTTAATCGTTGACTGCACTTGAATGAGCAGCTGAATAATAACGTATATCGGGCGTTCAACTTGTTCAGTCTAGGAAAAATTATGTACGCTTTGAACAAACCGAAAAGTTATAATACTCCAAAACTAATATCATTGTACACAAATATAGTAGAAGGTATTTGAGCCTAAATAAAACAAAATATTTAATACAGAAATAATTCTGAACTGAACGACAGTTAAAACAATTTATATTTGTTTTGGGCAACACAAATTATGTTGTCCGGCAATTAATCCGGTAATAATGAAGCAGCGGCAATACTAGTAATTATATTCCCTTTTTAAAGTTTAAATTTGTAGGTAAGATTATGGTCCCGGTAAATTTACTGATGTTGAACGTGTAATTTATGTCTTAAATGTAAAATCTCGATCATGTAAAGATAAAAGCAAACTTCACCTAACACCAAGTGACAAGCTTACATGCGGTAGCGTGGCCGAGCGGTCTAAGGCGCTGGTTTAAGGCACCAGTCATTTCGATGGCGTGGGTTCGAATCCCACCGCTGCCATTACCTTTTTTACTAAACACATCATTTTTATTTTATATTTAAAGCATACAGTATTTTTACATGTCGCTATTGTTGATGATTTGCCCGTATTTACCAAGAATACCTTCCATGCCATAGTTCTTTTCATTACAGCCTCGCTGCGCTGTTATCGAAAATGGGTTTACTCACGAATTTTAAAATTTTCTTTCTTGTTAAACCTCTACATAGAAAATGAGCCTAAATAAATTGATTATTTGGAAGTAATTGTAATTGATATTCAGAGGACTGTACAGGAAGAAGTGAAAATATATATTTGCGTTTTTGTTTCTTTCCTCTATTTTCGTTGCTATAATTCGTGCTCTATTCGTTACCCGCCATTCAAAATATAGTAACTTACACACACGTGTATTACTTTACCTCGATAGCGGACACTTTTCGCTCATCATAGAAACGTACTCATTCTCGATTTTAGCATATACCTTAGAAAGAGAAAGGTCTGTGGTTTCCAACAATACTCGTTTACTAGTTTGTTCGTTATCAACAACAGCGGCGGACCCAGCAAAATGTATTGGGGGGGGGGGTCACTGTTGTTATTGTTGTTGTTGTCGTTCTTACCTTGCGTGTTCTTCTGAATCTGCATGAAACTTCAGGTTTAACCAATCACAAAACGATACTTATTTTCCAGGATGATTGCGACATTGACATAATCCGGCAAAAATATATGTTGCTCGTAACTCGAAGTTCGTTTAAATGATAAATACAGTTTGAATTGCTAAATGTGGACGTTAAACAACAGTAACATTTTATGTTGCTCGTAATTTTGACTAACTGTTATAATTGCCCATCGGGTCACAATTTGGGCGTAGTTTTGATGTCCCCTACCTGGAACAATTCTCACTACGACCCCTATTCTACACAAACGCACAATTTATAATATTTGTATCATTTTTTACGACATATATATATATATATATATATATATATATATATATATATATATATATATATATATATACCACATTAATATTTATTTGTCGTTTTTAACAACAAAACTTAGAAGTATTATTTAGCCCAGCAATCGACAAGTTATTTGAGTTATTTTTTGCATTGAAACGCGACAAATCCGTTGCCCTTTTGTTTATTCGGTGAACGCTGA